CACACACACACACACACACACACACACACACACACACACACACACACACATTCCATCCATAGGATGAGCAATCATCAATCCTTCTACAGCAGAATGAAAAAGCTCCATCTCACGCGTGGCATTGAAGCCACGAACCGGCTTGATCTTTGCCATAGCCGAGAGTGGATTGAATGGAGTAAACGAAGGGGAAAGAGGACGGGAAGCCGCAGAATAGGTGCGACTGCAGCTACTTCACACGTAAGCACACAAGCAACTGACACTCGCAAGAGACCCGTCTGTGCTCGCTCTACCCCTACAGTTCAAACTTCTAAATACTACATTGCCATGAAAAAAAAAGTGACGAAGCCGTGACAAGGAGGATACGAAATGGAGGAGCAGAGATAGACAAGGAGAGATCGAGGAGGGAAGCTGGACAAGGAAGGGTGGAGGAGGAGATGTTACGAGAACTATAAAGAAGAAAAGATGACGAGACCTTGATGTGGAGGGATGGAGGAGGAGGAGGAGGAGGAGGAGGAGAGGACATCGACATCTGCGGAGGAGGAGAGATGCATCAGGAGGCGAGGATAATGGGAGATGGAGAGGAGATGACGTGGAGGATGAAGTGACGAGGAGGAGGAGGCGACCAGAAGGAGGCGGAGGTGGTGAGGAGATAGTCGGAGATACAATCGAAGCTTCGAGTCCAAGTTTCCATAGTATGGAAAAAGAAAGAAAACGACTATAACGTAACAAGGAGGAGGAGGGATGAAGGAGGCGGAGGAGGAGAGGAGGAGGAGGGGGAAGATGTGGAGGAGGAGGAGGGCGAGAGGGAGGAGGTGAGTTCGAGGGAGGGCAGGAGGGCTGGTGGAGACTGACCTTGTCGATGGTGGCGGTCGCTCCCGAGCTTGCTGATGGTGGCGAAAGCACAGGGAGGTCGGCGCTTCTCGGTAATGGATTGACGRCTCTGCTTCCTTCAAGCGGACTGGAAGCGGGCCTGCCAGTGAAACAATAGGAAAGAAACAGCCCTCCCCAAGCCCTTCCTGTTTTTTGTCGAGGACGAGAAAAGAAACGGACCCCCGAAAACGATCGGGAAGGTCCAAACGTTCTCCAAACGAAATTCAAATTCGTTCGGGCCTTGCTTGAGCGCGTGCCCCCTCAAAAAAAAAAAAAAAATTCGACCGACGACGAGAAAAGAAATGGACCCCCCTCCAAACGATTGTGAAGGTCCAAAAGTTCTGCAAACGAATTTCAAAACCGTTCAGGCCTTGCTTGAGCGCGCGCCCCCTTAAAAAAAAAAAAAAAAAATCGACCGTATTACTACTTTTGCTGGAGGGGGGGGGAGGGGGAAGGGGGGCAACGTCGAATGGACACCCACATTTTTTTTCCTTGCGCCGTGGTGGAATCTTGTGCCGTGTTTTCGAAGCCGATCTTTGTTGTCCACCTGAGTTGAGTCTGTCCTCCCCCCCCCCAAAAAAAAAAAAAAAAACTTAGTAGCACGCCCACTAATCTGGCCTGAAGGCAACAAGCACACGCCTTCACTTTTTTTTTCTTTTTATGGTTTACTTATTTATGGGGCTGTTGGGGAGTAAGGGGTACATTTTTTTGACGTCCCCCTGCTAGAGATAGAGGTCCAAGTTCAACACGCAGTGTTACACCTGCCGCAAGGTCCCACTACCAAAGAGGATTGCACTACCTGYATCTGGATGTGGTTTATGAAGAGATGCCGCATTGCAGATCAATCACAAATTTGTGCACCTGATCGACAACATGTCCAGATTCATGGAGTCAAATCCATTCATCTGTGGTTGTAGACTTCAGGGAAAAATACAGAGCGGAGGGTGAAAAAAAAAAAAAAAAAAAAAAAAAAACACAGACCTGAATGTGCTTTGAAAATGTGGAACTCCGAAGTGGGTCCATTTTCAGATCCACGACAGAGACATCTGTTCTGATCATACACAAACAAAAAAAAAAGCCAATGGCTGCACTGCTGTCCACACAACGGCACGGAGTGCTCTGCGGAGTGTTTGAAGGACAGCTGGTTGTAAACGTGCTGAAAGCAAAGCCCATTGGCACAAACTTACACTGACCAATTGAAAACGTGTATTTGACTGCAATTGCAGTCAAGGTTGGACGCATCTCACCCTACCAACGTCTGCATACCAAGTCCAAAAGTTGTCCGTATGAGTGTGTACAAACTTACACAGACCATTTAAGAAGATGTATCTGACTGCAATTACATGAAGCATAACTCGTACTAGGCATCACTGTCTCTGCCGTCAACTGTGTATTACCGTGAGTCCGACGATGGATAATCCTCCAATGACGTACAATATCTTTGTTTTTTTTTAATATATTAATAAGGTGATGGCCTTGACATTTGACAATTGCCGCCCATATTCTTTGAAAGAGACGTACTTAGTTTTATCAACGTTAGTCATGACTTGAGCAACACTCAGGCAACATTTTTCTTACCTGAGAACTGTTGACCAGTTCGAGGAACGTTGCTTTCAACACCAACGTTAATTTAAATGTTGCTTGAACAAGGCAAACGTTTCTCCAACCTGAAAATCAACAGAGTTTTTTTTTTGTCGGGAGGAGGAGGAGGAGGAGGAGGAGGAGGAGGTGGTCCTAATGGAGGAGGAGGTCCCGATGGAGGGGGAGGAGGTCCCGATGATGGGGAGAGAGGAGGAGGAGGTCCCGATGCAGGAGGAGGTCCCGATGGAGGAGGAGGAGGACGTCCCGACGATGAAGGAGGAGGAGGAGGAGGAGGAGGTGGTAAAGGAGGGGGAAGAGGAGGAGGAGGAGGTCCCGACAATGGAGGAGGAGGAGGTCCCGATTATGGAGGAGGAGGAGGAGGATGACGAAGGGAAGGAAACTTACCGGGCGAGGGTGGGCGATGGCGCGTGGGTTGCGAGCGTTAGGCGTCGGAGCTCGGCAAACTGCAACGCCGAACTCCGCCGACGGGGCAGGGCGAAGTCGCGCGCGAGGGACGGCTGGAGCAGATTCAAATTCGAATTTGAATTCGGCCCGATCCGGGTCGTCGATCTCGAAGATCTGACGGCCCAGACCGGACCTTTTTCGTTTTAGGATTCCGAGGCCCTACCGGCCTCGGGAAAATTTTCCCTTGCCCCCCTGTGCTTCGCCCCTGCCCTTGTCCCACCCTCAAGGTCCTCCCCCCCCCCGGTAGAATATTTTTCCCACCCATCGGACAGAGGGCCCCGGGAGGACGTGCGCCCAACTGTCCGACCGGACAATTCCGTATGGTCAGGGGGGGTCCGGACGTCCGATCGGGCAAGCTAGAAAAATTATATATTTCATGTTCAGCGAGACAAAAATTAATTGGAGAGAGAGAGAGAGAGAGAGAGAGAGAGAGAGAGAGAGAGAGAGAGAGAGAGGGCATCAGACAAGGGACATGCTGGAGCAAAAGAGATGGAGGAGGCTGGCGGGAAGCTTTTGAGAAAGGAAAGAGGTACACGCAGGTCAATTGGGACTTAGTGCACAATGGAGTCAAATGGGACAGCCACCTAAGAACAATTGATGGAGATTTCTCAGAAAAGAATGCTCTATGAAGAAACATCACCAACGGATCTAGCTGAGTTGGTACAGCCATAAATTGTATCAGTTGAAAACAACATCACCAACTAAAAATTAAAATATATATATATATATTTCAATCAGAACAATCCAAAGCAGTTGAAATAGAGGTCCAGTCGAACGTTTGCATTGGTGCAGTTTCCGGATCCCACATAACTATGATATATATCTTGTTCTCTTCTTTTTAACAAAGGTTGACTGGGTGGTTTGCTTGCTTACCTCATTATTCCTTTGAACTTCGCAAACCGTTTGAACCTCTGCTCACAGATTGACATGTTGGCAACTTTGAGCTCATCATACTTGGTCGGATTGACATTGTTGTTGAACCAATGTCCAACATGGTTGTGCTTGAAGTGAAACAAATCAACTGTATAAGAAATTATACAGGGCTAGGCTACCAGCCAGGCCGCTCGGGTCACATTGTATCCAGGGCGGCCTGGTCGTGCAAGGGCCAAGGAAGGTTTCAGCATAAAAATATAATTTTGTTTTGTCCAAAATTCCGAAAAAAAAGTTATGTTATGTGGAAAATAAACTAAACAACTTTTGCTTCAGGGTCATTTCCAAAATCCTTTACCAATTAAATTTAAAACCTAATTTTAAACTGAGTGGGGATCCGGGCCGCCCGGGTGACCGGCAGGGGCCCGGGGGAGGTCCCGGGCAGCCTGGCCGGGCAAAGCACGCGGTTGGGGTCTGGGCCCCCCCAGCGCACTCACCTGGCGAGGGTTTTTGAACCCCCTTTCGGACCCTCTTTGTGTGTGTGTGTGTTAGAGAGAGAGAGAGAAAAAAAAAAAATGCATGTCCTCGTTCTGTCCAACTTCTTTTCTGAAGGATCCCTACAACGTATTTGCTAGGAACCTACGTCATGCAGAGGTACACTTCAGGTCTGTGCATCTCGGTTATGGGTCACTATTTCTCTGTTTTCTCGTTTGTCTTTTCAGGTCTGTGCATCTCGGTTATGGGTCACTATTTCTCTATTTTCTCGTTTGTCTTTTCTTTTCTCGTTTTTATTTTCTCGATTTTCTTTTCTCGTTTTTCTTTTCTCGTTTTTCTTTTTGGAGGATTATGTTATTTTCTCGTTTTTCTTTTCTTAGGAATATTCGCAGTGGCCCTTAGGGCCTCTACTCACCAAATGCACAAAAGACAAAACATATGGTGACCTATTATTCCACGTTTTGCAAAAGATTCATTCTACTTTTCAATTTTGCACATTTCGTGAGTAGTGCAGCCAATCCCTAAGAGTCACGTGCAGAGACCAACAAGGCCTAGCTACATGAGCAACCCATAACTGCTGAAACACAGACCAACAACGCCTAGCTAAGTGAGCAACCCATAACTGGTGGGAAGGTCCCCGCAAAAAAAAAAATTAAAAAAATTAAAAAAAATCGAAAAAGTCAAAAAAAAAACTATGTTATGCACAAAAATAAACGGAACAACTTTTGCCTCAAGGTCACATCAAAAATTTTCACCAAATTTAAAATAACAAAAAAATAAATAAATTATGTTTTTCATTTTTGTTGTTTTAATTTTGTTTGGCCCAGTCGGGCAAGTGACCCCGGTCCCCTCTGGTAGCCTAGTTAAAAAAAAAAAAAAAAATCTTGAAAACATGTTTTTGAAACTCACCTACTTGATGAATCCTCTGACTGTCTGTGAATTCTTTTGTTTTCACTGTAACATTTTTCCTTCTTGCATTGAGTGCAAACCGCAAAAGATGACACATGTCATCGTAACCAATGAATTCTGGGAATGAATGATTCGCAAACAATGTGAGCAAGTAATGATATACCTGCACAAATTTTGAATACATACAACAACCAAACATAGGAGGGAATTTTGAATTCGGCAAAAAATATACTTGAGAAAATTAAGCAAGCTATAGAGATATAAAATAAACTTGAGGCAAGCAGTTTGTGATGCTAGGAAGGGTTCACATCCACCGCTGAGAACCACCACTCCTGTCCCGTACGTTGCTACAGTAGAGAGTGATGAAACTCAAGTGACATACGACGACAGGGCAAACCAATAGCTCACAGGGAGGGGTCTCATGAGTGAGTAAGCAAAAAAGTCCACAAAAACATAATTTGAAATTTGCATGCACACAATTTTATTTTGTCCATCTATTTTAATACCGCAATTCAGAAGTAACCACTAGCAGATTACATTTGTATTTTATTTTTCTTTCTCTAGGGAAAAAGAATGAACATACCTGAGTGCATGACTCCGCCAATATAAGTTCTATTGGTGGAGATATATAGCCACATGCCCACAAACAATGAACAAACCCGCACGTATTCTTTTTTTTTTCATCGAGATTTTTTGGCGTGTAGGATGTTTGTTTGAGGTTCGCAGCCTTGTTCTTCTCGGCGGTGCTTTTTGCATCATCATCCTCTGGATATGGTCCTTCGTAAAAGTCCATTGGCAATTGTGAATCCAAAAATATCCTGAGGACTTTTGAAGCATGTTCGCCAGCAAAATCGCGTTCATGACACCACAAGGATCGTGAATATGGCTGATTTTTCCACTTCACAAAGTAGAACAAGCTTTGTGAACCACGACAATGAATTCCAAAAATGAGTTTCAAGAACATAAGCCTAGAAACCTCCTTACTCTCTAAAATGGGCCTCAATCTAGGATACCAATCGGGCGGCCCGGGTCTCGGGTGGCCAGCCCGTGCAAGGACCAGGGAAGGTCCCCCCCCCCCCAAAAAAAAAAAAAAAACAATTCTAAAAAATCCAAAAACAAGTATATTATGCAGAAAAATAAACTGAACAAACTTTTGCCTCAGGGTCACATCGAAACTCTTCACCAATTTTAAAATAAAAATAAAACTTAAAATATTGCCCTGGCCAGGAAGTGACCCCGGACCACTCTGGTAGCCTAACCTTCAATGGAGTTGATAGACTTTTGTTCCGCTGATAGTATTTCGGGCATATAAATATTTTCCAAATAATTTCTGAGTAAAAGACATTCATAGAAAATTCAAGACCATCCTCCAAAAGTGTTTTCTAATTATGATATTATACCCGGCTTAAAACAAGCTACTGATATTTTTTCACTTTCACCAATAGCTAAGCACGCACCAGGGCCTATAACTCTTGAACCTCAGTCTCGGTGAGTCTAGATTGTCCTAGCATCTAGACAGAACCTGACATCCGTCACTGTTGGACCTAGGCAGCCAGGATGGGGTGCCAAGAGTTTAGAAAATTATTCATATAAAAATGACAATTTAAAAAAAAAACAAAAAAATATAAAATTAGAAAGCTGCAATTTTCCCCCTACTGCTCTATACCTATCCCTCTTCCTCCACACTCTGCTTCCTCCTCCAGAAAGCCTCATGCTCTTGCTCCTATGCTGAGCCTCCATGCTCTGGCTCCTCCTCCTTTGGTTTCCCATATTCATAAAAGAAAATTTCTTCTCCTCCCACTTCTCCTGCAACACCATACTGAACACACCTGAATTTTTACATGAATTTTTTAAACCTGTCGAAGACTTGAAAATGACCCCATGGTGCTTACTGTGCCTAAGCTTTTTTTTTTTTTTTTTTAGCCTTTTTGTTTTTAATTCCTCTGCCAGAACTCAAGTGCAGATATGCAAGATCATACTATGTACCTGGATATCTGGTTGGTTACAATCATTTCCACCATTGATGTCTTATTCCAAACAAATTGTAGAATTGCAGATGGAGACGAGCTGTGCACTCACTGTTGGAAACAATCTGGATTCAATAATGAATTCGGTGTTGCTCATGTCCATCTGTGATTGGAAGCGTATACGTCCAGCAATAGGTTCATCAAGATTGTCGCTCCACATCTCCTCTTCCTTGTCATTCTCCTCTATTGCGACCACGGATTTCTTTTCAGGACAAGTGTTGCAGACACCATTTTCGTTCTGGGATTGGTGTTTCAAGGCAACCCTTTACGATTGCACCAATTGTCGTTTGATATAATATCACATCTGATTTTGCACACTTGGAGCGGCACACCTTGAAGTGACCATCAACTTGGCAATACCTCCCATAAAGTTCATTGTCACACCCGGCTATATGATTTTGTGCTTCTTCCAACAAGTGGTACGAGAAGAGATCTTGCAACCACAGGTGGGCCACAAAACATCAAGAAAAATAAAATTATTCTGTTAGAACTGGACTTCTTTTTAATAATAAAAATAATTTCTTTCACACAACTTGAAAAAACACGAAGAGAGCTGCAATACTGCTTAAGATCTCATAAAATTATGGTTCGAGGATAATGAAAAAATTAAAAGATATTGTTAGAACTCAATTAGATTCATGGGTATTAGGCAATAAATATTCAGTAAATTAAATATTAATCAGTTGACATAGACAAAACCCACCCA